GCCAGCTGCTGCTGAAGGATGTCTTGAACGTAGACCTGAAAGCAGAGGAGATGGTGAGCCCAGGCCCCTGCTGCTGGGTGGGGAGGGCAGCCAAGCATGCAGTCAGGCCTGCTGGCCATCGGGAGGTGGCAAGGGGGTGCCATGGGCTGCAGGCTGAGCACCTCCCCGCTAGAACATTGCACAGGCCTGGGCTGGGCCGAGAGAGATGAATTCTAGCCAAAGCCCTGTCCTGAGGCGCTGGTGGTCCAACGGGGTCCTGATGAACTCTGCACTCACCATGCTTCAGAGAGGCATCCATCAAGCCACTTGCCCTGCCCAGGGCTCTGAGGCCCTCCTGCCTACACCCCAGAAAAGGGATTCTCTCAGTCAGACTGTCTGTGGGCTCTCCACTGTAATGCAGAGCAGGGCACAGAGTCCTGGGCCTCCCCAGTGACATACAAGTCCAGGAGCCAATCAGGGCTCCCAGTAACCCCAACACTGGGCATGGAGCACTGGCTCTGGGAAGATCCCTCAAGGACAAGTTCATTAGGGAGGAGCCAAGAGTCTGTCCCAACTCCCCAGGCGTAAGGGGTCATGGTGGGCGTAGTGGCCATCCTCCAGCCTCGCTGTGGTTGTTCATAGAGCCAGCCTGAACCACCTCTTCTCATGCAGTTGTGTATCTGGGAGAGGACCGTTAGCTGGCTGTGCCCCAGGGATTAACCCACCATGTGGCCCTGACTTAGTCCTGAAGGTTCCGTCTCTTCTCCTGGAAGAGTAAACAGAATAGCATCACAGCATCACTCTGACAGTGTAACTGCTTACATTCTAGAGCTGAGGAGATGAAGGCTCAGAGATGTGAGGGGTGTGTGTGTGGGGACCCAGGGCTTTTCATGCTCCTTCCACTGAACAGGCAGTTGCCCCATTACCTTGGCCTGGCCAGGCAGGCGAGAATAGGCTTTGTGCACCCCATTCCGGGCCATCCAACATCTCCTCCCAATAGAAGGGGGCCTTGTCTGGGCACTGGCTCCCTAACACCAGGGTCATGTGGCCTCTCTGGAGCCTGCAAGACCCAGCAGGCTGCAGTTACAAAGGTGGCCACCAGAGGGCGGGCTTCAAGGCCTGACAAGCTGGCCACCCAACTTGAATTCTCATTTCATCCCTGCAAGTGTCTATCTAGTACTTTGCCTACCTCACAATTGAGGAAGCTGACTCATGCATTCCCTCCTTCAACACTTTGAAGTACCAGGTGCTGCCCAAGGTGCTAAGACTACCCGCCTGGAGAGACAATATTTCCTGTCCTGGAAGAACTCAGGCCAGTGAGTAGTATTGATCCAACTTGTGTGCTGAGAACTTTACTGTCAGCAACTTTGGGGCATGAGACAAATTATTATTATAATCTCATTTGGAATCATACAAACCTGGGTTCAAATCTTGACTAGATGCTATGACTGGGTGCTTGTTTTTTAGAGTTGTGGGATCTTGTCCCCATACACAACCTCTGTGAAATGAGAATAGCATCACTTACTTTGTGGGCATGTTTTGAGAATTAAATGAGAAATTGTGAGCCAAGTGAGTGAGGCACAGACACAGGTAATGGCTATGGAGGTGTCTGGAGTCACGATAATTAGCAATAATGATGATATAATAATGACATCCAGTCACAAAGACTTTCACAAAGACTTGGACCTAGAAAGTTGCAGGTGGGTTAATGCATTCTCTTATTAATTTATTAATTCACCCACCCATCTGTCACTATGCCCATTTATCCATTCAGCTACGCCATCCATCCTCCAACACTTTCTATGTCCCAGGCTTGTCTCAGGCTCGTCCAAGATTTGGAAAGACAAAGACAAGACACAGTGGCTCACTTTTCCTTAGATAATTTCTGAGGACGCGCACTTTGGTTGCATCCTGCAGACACTCAGAAAGATCCAGCTTACTCAACACAATTGTGCCTAGAAATGGGATGGGAGAATGCCTGACTTCCCACCTGACTTTGGCAAGTCTCACTTTGGACACCTGGGTGGATCCCACTTGGAGGTGAAAGGCCAGCGCTGAGCTCTGGCTTCCCCCAACTCCAGGCCCTGCCACTGCCTCACCAGCAGCTGAGCCAGCTTTCGGGGCAGCAGCTGGGTTGGGGGCGTGGTGATGTCCAGGAAGTAGGTGAGGGCCTGGCTGGGGGAGCAGGGGGGCAGCCGCTTGTCCCTGACCCAGTAGCTGCCTGGAATACAGTCAGGATGGAAAAGGTCCCATTTAGGTTTCCCAGAGGGTGATGAGGCCTCTGGGGCAGACCCCTCCTCCCTCCAGCTGCAGGGGAGAGAAGACACTGAAGTTCTGGCTCCAGGAGCAGCAACAGGGCTCATGTGCCCAACTCATGAGCAGGAAGATGGGCTCAGATATATGGGTGCAGGAAAGACTGGTCAACAGCCCTCCAAAGGGCACCAGTGGTGACTCAATCCTATAAACTAACTATGCACCAGAGTCTAGTCCCTCTCACCCAGGCCTGATACCCACACGTGAATTACAGACTCACAGGGACTAAATCCACCAAAGACTGATGTACGCCCAGAGGCCAGTTGCTTGTTTAGAGAAAAGCCCATACTGCAGTCCCCTGGGGTCCTGTACCAGGAAGTGCTAGTGAAGGGGAAAATAAGAGATTTGGGGGGCTAGCTATCTGAATCTGTGCCGGTAACCTGTATTCTTGCTACTTCTAGAACTGGTTCCATTCTTATCTCTGATGCTTGTCCTGTCTTACAGAACCTGTTTCCCAGAATACTCCCATTTTACAGAGGCCATAAACCATGAACCATATACTAGTACAGCTCCTGGAGGGGGTTGTCAGCACTGGCGCCAGCCAGGCCAAGCCTTTGGGTGTAATCTTACTTCCCCCATCCCAACTCACGGGGGCTGCAAAGCCTGTGAAAAGTCCGGAAGCCTGATCCATATTTGGGGGACAAAGAAACTAAAAGGGATAAAAGGAAGGCTTCCTCCATACTCATCGGTCAGGCTTTGGAAGCTGATTCTCCTGAGTCACCGCATTAGTGCAACTGTAATTCTGCATTAAAAGGCTCCTCTTCTGAATCCTCTGAGTGCCCATCTGATTATTCTCCCAAGCTGCCTGGCAGCTTATCTACAACACTAGTGTCCCGATGCATGAAATTCATGCAAGGGGCTCGGCCCTCACAGCCCCGGCTTCATCTGGAAGGTTGTGCGGACGGTCGTTCTGCTGTTTGGTCTAATTAGCATATTAGCTCTTTATTATATAGGGTCAGCAGAGCTGCCAATCACCCTGAGTGAGGTGGTGAGTCTCAAGGAGTCCTGAGGGGCTCTATACAGGGAGGTCACAGCATGGATGCTGGGGCCAGTAAATGTGGGTTCAAACTCTGGCTCCCCACTTACTAGCTGGG